TGTGTGCCTATCATTACTTGGCTGTGTAGCCGCGTGATGCGGTTCCAGTCGAGACCCACAAATTGGCCCTTGCTCACCATAGAGTCTCCAGTAGCTCAAGTGGTTAGAGCATCCGACTAGATCACGGAGGGTCGTGGGTTCAAATCCCATCTGGGACTCGGATTTTTTTTCCGAGTCCTCCTCAAATTAAAAACAACTTATGGTGTATAAATAAAGGAATTATGAAACCATGCTGCTGAAAGACTTTGTTGACGTAATTTAGAGCCAGAGCGAGTAAATATTACTTGTCGCACTATATCTTTTAAACAGGTTTGTAAATCCGTCGTTAATACAACTTATAACTTTACAGGATGAAGTAGACTCTACCTCTTCTAAAATGCCACGCTATGCAGTTTTTGGAAAGCGACACGAGTGTTTCCTATGTGGGCGAAAGCTTAATCGAATAGATATCTTAAAACGACATGTGAAACAAGTTCATGAACGCCGAACGGCTTAGCGGGAATACGTATGTAATACCTGTGGTGAAGTCTTTCACAATCTGGCTCCATTTCGAGCACATGGAAAATCAGCACACAGTAGACCTTCTACGGCTGCCCAACGTCTACACGAAGACGACTCAGGTAGGAAGACTCTTTTGCAGTAACATAAAAATAACATTTTGTGTAAATGATAAGTGCTATGTAAATTTCCTTCGCAACGCATAATAGATAGTAGGATATGTTGAAAAAGTGCTTTATCGGCCTTTGTTTACAGTACCTTTTACACAATACCTTGCGGAATATAATAGAGGTTTATACATTGTTGAACACTTCTTTTGTCCTTAAAACCATACTTATTAAAGGCTTAAAATTAGGGCCATTTTAACCAGGAATCATCGTGTGGCTTACATCGAGATCACTCCCCTTTATTGCCAATGTTGTTTTGGAAGACTATGTCTACTCTTAGGTGTGATTTTGGCATGTAAAGCTGAATCTTGACACCCAAAAACTGCCTGATCTCACGTTTTCCCAATATATTACAAAGGCCTAGACCGGGAGTCAAATGAGAGGTTTTACTAAAAAAATAATAATAATAATGAATGAATTGAGTATACACTTTTCGTTGTAATTTAGCAGCCTTTGTTTTTCGACAAAAAAAACTGCGACTTCAAGAAATGTCAGACGTAACTTCAGAAAATTGCTAATAACAATAATGTCTGATTTTCCAAATATTCCGTGTGAGTGTCACCATTTTGTTTTGTACTCGGAGTTGAAGTTGCCGTAATTTTTGGTGGTGGTAAGTTCACCATAAATGAAATAAAGCGTAATTGTATTTTGAACACATTGGAGATATTCTATGTACATAGATATATACCTTTTTTTTCTTTTAGAGCGAAAAACCAAGAAAACAAAGTCGACCCCTATCGAAAAAAAGCAGTCAACTCTGAGTTCTAGTTGGCAGCAAGAACCAAGATCTATCACCGATCTCCCTGAAGCACAACAAAGTCTCGTTCCCGAATACCGCAACCACTGGCATCAAATACGCACTCGTTTTAGCCGCAAAAATCGTCTTTTGGACTGGTACAATTACCGCCTTTCCTCTCTCCAACCTCAAGAACTTAGCACTCATCTGGGTAACATTTTTACTGACCAGTCAACGGTGAAGCTGAATGTGTCTTTTGGTTTCATTCTACGCATCAACGAGACTGGAGCACTTCAATATTATTATGCCTCCAGAAATAATGAACAAGTCTTCGAAGAACCCTTTCAAATTAACACCGCAGCTGACCTTTAGCAAGTCCGTGAAGCATTGTTAAACCTTGACGTCTTGGAATGGGTACGCCAGCGACGCCCTAACTCCAAATGGGTCGTAGAACAGGTGACCAATATCACTTTCTTCGTCACCAAGCTACGAGGTCATCCTATAGGGAGAGGTACTTACTTGCCTTCCTATCTGGCCGAGAACCATGGTTTGGTCGCCTTGGATCGCAACCGCAATAATGGAAAAATCTACAGCGACAATATGTGCTTTTTTCGCGCTTTGGCGCTCCACAACGGTTGTCACCCAAAGAATCTAGAGCGGGATGCACAGCATTACTGTGAGCGATATAAAGAATCTTTTCCTGAGAAAAAGAAATTTTGTGGTGTGAAGCTGAAAGAACTGATCGACCTAGAACACCTCTACGAAGTGAACATTTTTGTCTATTCCCTCGAACCCACTAAACCCGATGGAGAGGAGGGGGAAGAAGACATGGAAAAAGAGGAAGAGGATTTCGCTCCTGAGATCGCTGCGCAGTTAATTCACCGCTCCCTTTGCCACTACCCAAGTACGCTGTACCTCAACCTGTACCAGAATCACTTTTCCTATATTAAAGATTTAAAGAAGTATGCCAAGTCCTACAGCTGCTCGCGATGTGGAACATTGTGGAAACATGTTGGCAAGTTAAATCGTCATGAGCGAACCTGTGAAGCAAAGGTGCATTATCAGTTTCCAGGAGGTGCTTACAATACTCCACCAACCATCTTTCAGTTGCTAGAAGACGAAGGGTTGACTGTTCCTGAGCATCTCAAGTTCTTCCCCTACAGAGCTACCTTTGATTTTGAGTGTATGTTTACAGCTGAGACAGACCTTGACGATACAGAGAAACTGACTTGGGACGCTAAACATATACCCCTCAGCGTGAGTGTCTGTTCCAATGTTCCAGACTACGACCAACCCAAGTGCTTTGTGTCAAATGGGGACTCTAAACAACTCGTCAAAGAGATGTTAGAACACCTCGTAAAAATAAGTGAAAAGAGTTATGACCTGTTAAGGAAAACGTTTAACTTTCTTTTTGAAGCCATCGACCAAAAGCTGGAAGACCTAGAGCAAAAAAACAGAAGCTGGTGACCCTTCAAAAACTAACACAGTAGAAAACCTCACCCAGGAAGATAGCGATGATGAAGGAGAAGATCTCATGGACACAGATGACGAAGAAGAAGACATCGAGCCTGAAACCGAAGAAGATCGTGTCTTTATTGACGATGACGTAGAAGAACAAGGTGCCTCGTTTTACAGGGCCTTAGATCGCGAAAACGAGGATCAGAGTGAGAATGATCAAGAGTGTGCGTATGAGAGACCAGAGGACAACAGCCCAGAACCTAAGAAGAAAAAAGTGCACCCTTTAAAGAAACTGAGAGATCGTTTCCAAGAATATCTACAAGAACTTCCTGTCCTGGGCTTCAATTCTGGTAAATATGACTTGAATGCCGTCAAAGAATTTCTGTTTCCTGTCCTGGTCCAGAATGAAGGCGTTCAGTTTACTATCAAGCGTAACCACAATTTCATGTGCCTAAAGACCCCACATCTTCGCTTCCTCGACGTCACCAACTTTCTTGCTCCCGGTTTCAGCTACGACAAGTTTCGGAAGGCCTACGAGTGTCCTCAAACCAAGGGGTTCTTTCCTTATCAATGGCTGGATTCTCTTGAGAAATTAGAACACTCCTCCCTTCCACCTCACGAAGCGTTCTTTTCTACGTTAAAAAACAAGAACATTTCTGACGAAGACTACCAGTACTGCCGACAAGTCTGGTCGAACGATAATATGCAGACCTTTCGAGAATTTCTCATCTGGTACAACAACCTAGATGTCCAACCCTTCTGCGAGGCCCTGGAAAAAATGTGCGCCTTCTGGAAAGATAAAAAGATCGACATGTTAAGACAAGGTATTTCTATTCCCGGTGTTACCTTGACGTACCTCTTTACCACCCTGGAATCTGGCATCTTCTTCTCTCTGTTTGACGAAAAAAACAAAGATCTGTACTATCTCTTTAAGAAAAATATGGTGGGTGGCCCTAGTATAATATTTCATCGATATCATGAGGCGGGAAAAACCAAAATCAGAGAAGAAATAGAGGATCAAGGAAAACAAGCAAAAACCTGTCAAAAAATTGTTGGATACGATGCCAATGCTTTATATCTATGGGCCATCATGCAAGACATGCCCACCGGATCATTTACAAGACGCCGAGAGGAAACTGGCTTCAAGAGAGAAAGTTCTTCCAGGATGGCAACCGAGTGGTTAGAGTGGAAGGCACATGAAGGAGGAATTTTTATACGCCGCCAAATGAACAATACAGAAAAACGCATTGGTGAAAGAAGAATACCAGTGGATGGTTTTCACGGTCCTTCGCAAACAGTCTTTCAGTTCCATGGCTGCTGGTGGCATGGGCATATCTGTCATCTTACTAAAGGAATAGAAACGAACGAAAAGAGAAAAAGACCAACGGCGGAGTTACGAGAAGAAACCAAAGAAACCTCCAAGTACATCAAGGATCAGGGGTACCATCTTGTGGAAATCTACGAGTGCCAGTGGCGTCGAATTAAGAAAAGCAACTCACAAGTTCAGAAGTTTCTCAACTCCAAGTTTAACCGCCCTCTTGATCATCACAAGACTCTGACACAAGACCAGATCTTAAGCGCAATAAGAAGCGAGTCCCTCTTTGGAGTGGTCGAGTGTGACGTTAGAGTACCTGATGCACTAAAACCCAAGTTTGCAGAAATGTGCCCCATTTTCAAAAACATAGAAATTTCAAGAGAAGATATTGGTCAGCACATGCAAACCTTTGCTGAGGAAGAGAACATCATGACACAACCTCGACGAAGTCTCGTTGGTAGCTATTTTGGCTTCCCCACTCATTAAGTGGTACTTGGAGCATGGTCTGGAAGTGACTCATATTTATCAAGTAGTGGAGTACACACCCTTTCCCTGTTTCCAACCCTTTGGGGAAGCTGTATCAGATGCTAGACGGGCTGGAGATGTAGACCCAAACAAAGCCATCATGGCAGACAATATGAAATTGGTAAGTTGTTCTCCTATTGAGGGAAAGGAGGAAGAAATACGTTTTAAGGTACAAAAAAACTCATACCAATGTTGTCTTTTTTCATAGGTGGGGAACTCGAGTTATGGAAAGACGATAGCCGATCAAGGACGCCACCGAGAAGTCCAGTTTTGTGAAGAAACTAAAGCGTCCCGCTTAATAAACAAACCCTTCTTTAGACAGGTTGAACAGATTGAAGAAATGCGTTTGAAGTGCAATCTTGCAAGAAAAAAATCAAGTTGAACCTTCCCATGCTGATAGGTTTTTTCGTTTATCAATACGCTAAACTTAGAATGCTTCAGTTTTATTTTGATTTCATGGATAAGTATCTTGATCGTAGCGATTTTCAGTATTGTGAAATGGACACCGACTCTGCCTATATCGCGATCGCAGGGCAATCGGTAGAAAGTTTAGTAAAATCAGAGTTAAGAGAGGAATTTGAAGCAGACAAGGCCAATTGGTTTCCACGAACGGACACTCCAGAACACAAAGCTTATGACAAAAGAACACCAGGTTTATTTAAGGAAGAGTGGTCAGGGACAGGAATAATTGGTCTAAGTAGCAAGACCTACTATTGCTTTGGGGCCTATGATAAGTTCAGTTGTAAAGGGGTTAACAAGAAAACAAACGACATTAACAAACAAAAATATCTTATTGTTCTGTTGACCAAACAGAGTAGTGCAGGATTAAATAAAGGTTTTCGGGTAGTCAACAATAGCATGTATACTTATGAACAAGTTCGAGATGGGTTTTCCTACTTTTACCCCAAAAGAAAAGTGTTGGAGGATGGAGTTACCACTATGCCTCTAGATATATAAAATTTTGTTGTAAATTGATTGCTGTATTAAAAAAAAATGAGTATCAAAAATTGAAGCGTGTGTGATTCATAAATAAAACAATTTATAAAAAACGCGTTTCTTGTAATTCTCTGACTTAAGGCGCGAGTGCGTTCCCACGCAAAACTTCCCCACGCGACCTTCTCGCGTGTTCCTGAGGAAAATAAAGACACTCAATTTCTGCCCTTTATGCCCTTGGTGCCCGTTGTGCCCTCGAAAATAAACGATAAATTTCGTATAGATTTGTTCAGTTTAAAGTCTGCTTTCGTACCGTTAACATGAAAAAAACTAAAATGCAAGCATTGTCCTATTCCCGGCTGTGGGTCAAAATTGTTAGTTCGATTAGCAAACCATTTGGCTCAGGTACACGAGCTGTCTGACTTAGAGAGAAAATATTGGCTCCAGTTTGCTAAATTACAAAATACCAGCATTATTCGTGTATATGATAAAGATACTCCACCAAAGGCCATTTCTCTATAAATAAGAAGCAAACGCAGTTGAACCAGTCAGTTGTCAACATGGACCCAAGGTGGAAACACCCCTTTCCTGCTATTGTAGCTGGCCCCACTTGTTGTGGAAAAAGTCAGTTTGTCAAACACCTGTTGGAATCTGGAGAAGAATTAATAGACGCAGCTCCTGAAAATATCATTTGGTGTTATGAGATATACCAACATCACGTTCGTCGAAGGAGTTCCTAGTGATTTAGAATCCATGATAAACCCAACCATTCGGAATTTAGTAGTCATTGACGATTTACTGCAGGAGCTTAGCAATGATCAAAGAATTACCAATTTGTTTACTAAGGGCTGTCATCACCGAAATTGAAGCGTTATTTTCATTCTTCAAAATATTTTTCACCGGGGAAAAGAACTGAGAGACATGAGTTTGAATTGTCATTATTCGGTGTTGTTCAAGTCTCCGCGCGATAGCAGTCAAGTCAGTCACTTGGCGAAACAGATGTTTCCCGGTCATGTCAAATACATGCAAATACAAGCCCTTATGGCTACCTGTTATGCCACCTCAAACCGGAAACGCCAACCGACTTCCGGTTGCGCACAAGAATTTTCGCTGGGGAGACTCAGCTCGCCTATGTCAGAAAGGTATAAAAAAGCTCCATCGTAGTGATTGATATCAGTTGAGTATGGCCCAGCGACTAAGAAAGAACCACGATTTTCTTAAGCTCCTTGTCAAGTATACCCCAGCTCAATGTAAAGCAATTTTGAAAGCAGCCGACGACGCTTTAGTAAAAACCATTTGTGAGTGTGTATTCAACGTAGTTAAAGAAACAGTCCCTATCAGTAAACCGGCAAAGAGAAAACTTCTTAAGCACAAGAAAGCCTTGACTGCTTTAGCTGAAAAGAGTACCCCGCTAAACAAGAAAAAGCAAATCTTGGTACAACACGGAGGAAACTTTTTAAGTGTTTTGCTACCTCCCGTTCTTCGGGTGTTGAGCTCGCTTCTTACTTAAGATGAATCATACAAGACGCATGGTTCTTGTTCCTGAGAACACTCTGGAGCGATTGCAGCAACGTCAGCAGATATTAACACCACCTGTAACACAAACTCTGAAAAATCTGGATAGCCAAATGGGGGATATTTTAGAAAATAAACAGCTTGATGATGAGGAAAAGGCGAAGCTTTACAATCAGGTGTTGCAACGGTACTTGACTTATTACGATCAGCGGAAAGGCCAGCCTCTCCATGTGAAGTTAATGACCCCTAAAACAACAGAAACCCCCAAACCAGTTGAGAACGCAGAATCTACAGAGGAAGCTTCTCCAGATAATTTTCTTCCAACCGCAGTAGAGCTAGAGGTCATGAAAAGTGTACCGAAAATTTACAAAGCTGGGGCTAGACAGTTGTTGGATAAAATTAAAAAACACCAGGATGTGTTACATTGGAATGATAAAGGAGAGCTGTTGTATGTAAACAAACCAATCCCAGGTTCTCATGTTGTCGACCTAGTCAACGACACATTGCGTCACCGAAAAGGATTTGAACCAGTGGGGTGGTCAGTGTTTGCGAGGGGCCTAGCGCGAATGAATGTCCCCGAAAACTTGGTTCGTAATCCCCAACGTCAGAGTGCCATAAGAGAGTTTAAAGCAAGGGTGCGAGAGGAGACCCCAGAAAGTCGTTCGCGTTGGCTACCTACCCCACCTGTGACGTTATCTTCTGTCAAAAAGCAGAGGCGCAGAGTCGAGAGTCCTCGCCCTCAGGATGTTCTATGGTTACGATTATAAATCATGACAAGAGACTTTTTTATTGTGAAACACAAAACTTTATTTTGCTCAGTCAATAAAATGTGTTGAAAAGAAATTACATGGTGTCTGTTTACTGAACTTAGTGTTGTGCTTTTGCTCTTTGCTTGTTTACATCAGTACGATATTTCGGAAAACTTATAGGAAAATATTTTTCAATAAATCGTTTTACAAGTTTTACTATCATTTTTACTTGTGTCTTTAGAAAAAAGATGGACAATAGTACTCATACTTATTTGCCGACTACGATATAAAACAAAATACAAACAGTAATGTCTGCACACTTTTGAATAGATGCTTTGTAATGTTACAGTATTAAAAGTCCACTGCTTAGAATTGTTGTTTAAAAAGGTAGTAAATGTTCCTGAATATTTGCTGGGTGGTGATCCGTAAGAATCGAAAAATTCTCCCTCTTGCTCCTTGGTGAAATAAAACGCCACCCAATGTGAACCTGGCTTGTCACTCGTACCCACATTGGCGATAAACAGGGCTGAGTAATGTGAAACACTGGCAGGTAGCAGGTCTGAGGGATACACGCCTTGAAACACACCTCGTGTAAATTTATCCTTTCTCAAAAAAAGGGTCAGTTGAGTAGTGTCCATTTTTAGTTTGTGTAGTCGAACAACACGTTGCGGTTCCCGTCAACTTCAATCACGTTTTGGAATAGACCTTTTTACCGATACGGCGGCCATATTGAATTAATTGGACTTAAGGAGTATTATGGGATGCCCAGGGGGCATGAGCACGATCTCATATACTCGCATCAGTATTTACGTGCGCTTTTCGGGCCAATTTTTCTTTAAGTTTTCCTAGAAAAAGTTTGTAATGAGAAAAAAAGATCTTTGTGCCGTCTTTGAATGTAATAACGATCGCCTTTTTCCCGAGAAATATACGTTGAAGTTCTCTCTTTGCCCGAAAAGGGCGCGTATATACTGAGCGAGTGCCCCCTAGGCATCCCATAATACTCCTTAAATCTAATAAATTCAATATGGCCGCCGTATCGGTAAAAAGGTCTATTCAGCGTACACGATAAGGTTAACCGTATTAGCCAGTGTTTCCTTGAAATGAAGCTCAGCGCGTAGGTTACCTTGCTTTATTAGCTCAAAATAGTCACCTGAGCAGTGGTCTGGGGACAAGTCAAAGCAGAATGCTGTGTAACCAGAGCCATAATCGCTTCTACTGATCTGATTACCCGCATCTTGGGATAGCTTTCCAGTGCCTGAGAACAGGCTTTGATAGCCTGCTATTACATTTTGACCTCCAGCTTCGTCAAAATTCAAGAACAGGGGTTTCCAAGGAATTTGCTCTCCGTCCACATAGACACCAACTTGAGTTAGATTGTGGTGTTTGAAGTTGAACGGGTTGGTACTGTAAGTTCCATTATATGCCTGAGTATCCACTAAGACCAGCACGATTCGTTTGGGGATGTGACCTAAAAAGATGTTGTCGGGGTTAAAACTGCTAAATCCTCTTGGAATAGACAGCACTTTACAATCTATTCGGCGAACCGGGTACTTGGCGCTGGAGTGTTTTAGTGCAGCAGCATGGCCAAGTATAATAGAAGAGGCCAATTTCACCTTGCGAACGAACAAGATGGCTTCTGTGATTACCACCTTGAAAGTTGGAACGGCTGCTGATGACATCAGACAAAACGAGTTCTTGGCTCGGTTCAGTTTGATTCTTAAATTCATTCCATTTAGCATCAACCGGTCTTGAAAGAAAATATCGCTATGAATGGGCCCCATCATATCCACAATATGACTTTCTTTAGTGAAATCATAGCGAACCTTTAACCCCTTGTTTGCAGCATCGTCTGCAGCCACAGGGTTGCCAACATCCATTTTTCCAGGGGTATCTTTGTAAAACATGGCCATAGAAAGTTGACTTGTTTTTGCTTCTTCTCCGTAGTTTAGCAAGGTTTCGATCATGGTGCGATAAGGGTAAGTATTGGTGGATGGAGAGATCAATCGCTCGTTCAAGGAAACGTCCACTTGCGGAAAAAGGGAATGTAAAAACAGGTTCACGGGACCTACTTGTGTATCGGCATCTATGGCGGTTCCATTTGCTTTTGTGATCTTGGCTTTCACAAATAACTGAGTACGTGCCAAGTCCAAATACTCATCTCCGGTTCCCGAAACGTAAAATTCGATCGGACCACTGTCCGTGATGTTACTGATGGGGTGGTACTCGATCCATTGCCTTTTGGTGATAAAGGTTTGTGTTGCAGGAATCGTAAAGAGATCCATCTCTGATTTCGTACATTCCTGAGACTAGTGATGCACAAAGGCCATAGTTACTTCCAGAAAGAAAATTTCTCTTTGGGCTTCTTTTGCTGCGGAGATGTTTTTGCCTTCTTGCCTGGAGGCGAACTGATTTTGGTTCCTTGCGCTTTTCTTTTTATAGATTTTTTGCCAGCACCTGATTGTCCCTGCAATGAATTCTGGGAAGGTAGATCGAGGGCTTGTTTCGTGCGCTTGTGGACTGCTGTTTTAATGTTATCTCCATCAAGAACATCTTGGACAACATTGACTCCTGTTTGTAAGGCCTTTTTTCCAATCACTTTAGCACCCTGTTGAAGGTGAGGCATCGCCCAGCGAAACAGGCCTCTGAATATGGACCCTAGTCCATAACCCCGCTGAAATCGAGCACAGTAAAACGCTGGTAAACTCCCACCTTTTTGTTTGGCTTGATTAACATAGTACTGTTCGTACAACTTGTGATTTGGAGTGTGGAGTTTTTTCATCTTTAAAGTACTGAGGTGCACTTTGACGGAAATGAAGTGTTAACAGCACTCTCCCAAACTCAAATGGTACAGACTCCCCTGTGTCTGTCTTTTATCGACTTCGACGGTTTCAAATTGCTTTCTGCTGACAGGTAAATATTGGGGGCGCAAAAATGATTTACTGACTCGCTCCCCGACCTTTCCTTCTACAAGAACAATTCGAAGCAAAGGTACCAATGCATCTCCAACATATTGTGACTGAATAAGATTACAGTAAATGAAAAGGTCGTGAAAGCCATACTCCAAATCCACTTGTCTTTCAGCGGTAGAAATAATTTCTTCTGGTGAAAATCCCAGCAGATATCCAATGTTACCAAAGAAAAGTTCTACGTTATTTTGTAGGTGAACAGTCACCTTTCTAGTGAACGTATCGTAGGAAAATGTCACATCGTTATTGAAACGCTTTACATTCTCGATCAGCCCTTTCATCTTTAATAAGATATCTTCAATGGAAGAATAATGACCCGGTGGTATAATTAGGACCTCCCATACTCCGGACAATTCTTGGTTCCGAAGGAAGAATCGATTACCAAAATTTCCTTGGACATTATTATGAGTAGACCAGCATCTTTGGGGCAAATTGGTTGACTACTGAATGATACCCTTCCAGGCAGCTTGTTTGCTCAACTGAGGAAGCTTTTTCTATTCCTTTAGTAAGGCTGGTTTTTGTAAGGGCGGTATACAGCTTTTCATATGCCTCTGACACTAGTAAGAATGAAAGCAATACAGGGGAAATGTTTGTCATATTGTGGTTTTTAGATGAAATTTATAAATCAGGTGGTCACTAGTTGTAAATTATTTTATTTAGTGGAAAAAAGAAAAAGGACAGTGATATTTCATATTTTTCATATTTTTTTCAATTTTTGACAGTTTCTAGTTGCATTTGAGCAGATGGGGCTGAAATTCTTGAACATGACCAAAAATAGCTCAACCAAGCTTTGCAATGATACAGTTATGTAGTCTTATATCCAAGACGTTTGGTCAACATAATAAGATCAACATAGAGTGCGGCAGCAAGTGAGGCTTTTGTACCTTTAGACATCCATACTTTTGGTGTGATGACTTCACCGTGAGCACAAGCATTGAAGAGCCTATTAGGAAGGTTCTTGTGTTTGTTGATGACATGACTGAGGAATGCTTGGAACTTTGCAACCTTGACCTTTCCGAGACTTTCTTGAGTGGAGGTCACTGCCCAGTAAAAATGTCTAACACAGGCCTTCCTCCAGCGGCCAATGATCTCACAATTTTTTCCCTTGCTCAGTTTTGTTAGAACTTTTTGGATTTCTGTGAAAATAGCAAAACAATTCAACATTAAGTGCTTTTCTACAATATACATGTACAATAAATTTGATCAAGGCACAGAGAAGCAGAGACATTGTCTCCTCTGATAATGAGAATACTATTTCACTACAGATTCTAGGTCATAGGTTTTTTGCACTGTGCCCTAGGACAATTCGGGTTTATAAAACGTTCCATCTAAGATTTCAACTGCATCATCCTTTAGTTTGTAAACGAGTACTTGACGCGCCATTCGTTTGTATACAGTAAACATTTCTTCCGTGAAATTAGGCAGGGAAGATTTTTCAAACATTCGCCTCACTTTGCTGATCCTAACACGATCTCCCACTTGAAATTTAAAACGCACACGCTTTTCAACGTCATTACCATACAAAGTATCCCACACTTTAGTTTCATTCGCTTTAGTCACCCCACTCGGCTTCATTTTAATACTTCGGTGGTAAGTGTTATTGTAAGAGGATACTAGTTGGGGTAGTACATTGATATACGTGAGAGTGTTTTTAGCTGTGAAATATTTGTACATCTTATTTTTAAATGTTCTGTTAAAACGCTCAACTACTGAGGCCTTGAGCCCAGAGTTTACAGTAAAAAAAGTCAATGTTGTTGTCACGCAGATAAGCCTGAAACAATCGATTAAGAAACTCTGTTCCTAGATCCGTTTGCAGTTTGCTGGGTTTGCGACCAGTAGACAGGATCTTTTGAAAGGCTTTGACCAGTTCTTGACCTTGTTTTGACTTCAAAGGCAGCACCCAGGCATACTTGCTGAAGATATCTACACAAGTCAGTAAGTATTTATAGCCCTTGTTGTAGCGACTGAGATTTTGAAGATCGACCAAATCCGCTTGAAACTGGGCATCTATTCCAGGAACGATGACTCGGCTTCTCTTGTGGCGTCTTCGCGCGGGTTTGTGAAGAGTATAAACATCCTGCTGACTCAACCAATCTCGGACTTGTTTACGCGATATCTTGTTCTTTCCTTTCTCTTTGACTGCTCTGTAAACAGCATCTAAACCACCGAAACTTGCGGGTTGACTTGGGTCGAGGTAGATGCTGGCTAGTTTTTTCTCCATCACAAAATTCCGAGTTTTGTACAACCACTTTACCACAGCAGCAAGCTAATACACAACGTATGCGATTGAAAATGTGTTCAAAACCAAAAGTGGATGATGGCGGACAGCAACCCATCACTAGTGTTTACCTGAACGGTAAAAGATGTAATGACTTCTCTCTCCCTGGTGCTCCTTTATATAGCTACTGTGGAATCTGGGTGAGAGTGGGAACAAGAAGATGAAATAGTAGTTCCCATTCCTCCTCAGTTAATCCCAGCTGATCCGCGAAGTTCAAAAATACTACTAATCGTCCCCAGTTCACTTTGGAAAAGAGTTCAGAATGGAGTTGCTTTAATTTTTCGAGATTTGAGCCCGGTAGTTTAAAAAAGTTTTCTTTAAGCTTTTCCATTGCACTTGTAGATATTGTTAAATTTTTTGCTGTTAAGCGGTACCAAGAAAACTTGACCCGAAGCAAAGAGAGAGAAAGACCCATCTTAACTAAGATAAAGACAAACACACACTGATGCAAAATCAGAACATCAACTCATTTTATTTCTTTTACAAACAAAGCCTGTTTTGAATGTCATTAATTACAGAGTCAATTTCCATTGGCTCTTCGTCTTTTCTCACTACTTGTTCAAGGGATTCTATTTCTGCTTGTTGGTCGCTAAAATCCTTGCTCTTGAGGCCATTAGGTCCGTCATGTATAGCGCGCAAGACACGACTCTTAATATCACCATCAAAACCATCTACCTCAAGTGAGGCTAGAAATATGCTGGTCCAAGGCATCTTTGGTAGCTCGCTGATGTACATTTTCCACGACTGGCCAAGCTTGAAACCGAGAGCCTTACACACACTTTCAACATTGTTCAGGACGGCATTCAGGTCAATTTTTTCCACCACATCTTCCCGGCAGTACAACCAAGAATCCTCTTTATCCATCATAAGACACGAATGTTGTCTTTGACTTGGGTGCTGAATAGCACAGCCGTGACAGCGATTCAACTTTTCTTCTTGAATTAGTTCGTCAATCATATTGGCGTAAGTAAGTTGGAAGATATGGCCGATAAGACTTGCTATCCTTTGCCGTTGAACTTGTTCCACCAAGAGACTATAAAGGGGACAGAGAGGGCATTCCCCATATACACCCTATTCCATAGGTAATTCGTCTCGAGTTGTTTTTAACGCCACAGATCTCAAGGGGGATTAGACAACAGCCAATCACATAGCGCGAATGTGTTCCGCGTGGATGACCCAAGCTGAGAGCCACGCGTCCTTCACGAAATGACGCAGAACAAAATGGGGGAAGACGCGGAGAGCGATTTTGCTATTCCTTTGGTCGACGAAAACGACTACAGCGAGATTTCTGCGAAAGCTGTGTTAGCGAAACCGAAATGAAAAAAGAATCGCCCTTCCTCTCTTGTATAGAGCTAACAGTAGAACAGGGAAATCCTTTACACACTGAATATTCTCTCAGGATCATTTACAATTTACAGTTTGAAGAGAGCAATTTCTGGTTTGATGTTTATTTTTTTCAGTCTTTATAGCGATTATTCCTACCCACTTACTTTGTCAATTGTAGGCGAACCCTCCTAAAGCTGAATTTCAAGGGGCCATGTTCAAGCTCAGAAAGAGAAATAAAATTTCATCGTGGCTTATTTACGTCCTCCATAAAACGCGAAATTAGGCATTTTCACGTCGTAGTCGTGCAAAAACGGGAAAGAAATGAACAAAAAAGTGTGTTGCACGTGCGAAGTTGTTGTTTTGCTAATTAAACCTATTGTTTTTTTGACGTTCTAGTTGTCGTCCGCGTCGTTGGATCTTAAACTCCCTAAATTGTACAAACGACCGGTTTCAATAGACCGGCGAAATTTCTCATTTTATTAAAGCACTGAGGTTACGACAACTTCGAGTTAAACTGATTTCACGGGTTGTCAAAGAGTCCAGCGATTCCTTTTTCCCAGGTGAGCGCCGACTCATTTCGCTTCAATATTCAGGAATGCTCTCGATCTTTTTACGCTTTCATTGCCTCTCGCCCGACATGCTTTGCACGGCGTTTGGTCATGCGAAACCTCCACGAAACATCCACGCCTCGCGCGAGGTAACTTCAGTATCCCGATTCTAAAAATAACTCGAGATGAATTACCTATGGAATAGGGTGTATATGGGGGATGCCCTCTCTGTCCCCTTTATAGTCTCTTGGTTCCACTTCATCAATAGTCAATAAACGCCCAAGTCTCGAATCAACATGAATGTTTGAAACCATCTTGTTTATACTACTGAATCTCGAGAATGATTTGCTTGGTAAGGAATGACCATTTCATGTGTTTCGAAACAATGGAAAAAATTGGCAGGTAAAAAATAAACCCTGATATCATCTTACCTGGCTAAATATGACATCATCATGACCAAGTGGGGACATGATATCCCTATTCTATTTATAGATTATGATCTCAACATTTTTTGATGACGTCAAGTCTTAGGGTATTCTGACGTCACTTGCTCCTTGCCAGCTAAAAATAAACTATGACATCATCCCATCTTAATGAGATGCATGACGTCATCTACGTTAATTTATACCGCACCAAAAGTTAATTAAATCCGCAAAGAACC